TATGGTATTTTGTTATGGCAGCCTGAGCTAACCAGGATGGTGCCCAACGCTTAGAAATGGTCCTGGTAAATAGTAAGTAATCAACATTTTTTAAATTGCTATAGCATTGTATTATCAATATATCTTTTTGAGTCAATTGAATAAATGAGTCATTCCCTGGCATGGTCATAAGTATGTCACTTCTTTGAGACAGTGTGTTTGTAGTTGAGGGGGTTGGGAACAGGGAGAAACACTGGCTAGCGTGGAGGTCCTGGGTGTTTAGTGGGAGTAGGACAGAACCAATTATCCAGTTGAGTATGGTAACAAAATAGGAAGAAAGACCTGAAGAGGCTCAACATGCACAAATCTCCTTTTTTTTTTTTTTTTTTTACCATTTGGCTAAGGCTGGTTCTAAAACTGGGCAAGGTTCTTGGTTGATTACTAGGTGTGTGTGCATGTGTGTGTGTGGGTGCATGTGTGTGTGCAAAGGCCCTGCTCAACATTAGATAGGACTATTTGAACCAATGTGAATTTAGGCCCAGTCTGGATGGTGCTCTTTATAGAGAATACCCTAAGCTGGCAATGAGATTTCTCAAGTACATAGCAGATAAAGCTAGGCAGAGGGACACAGTGTAATAATAACTGGAATAATTGGAATTCTTTTATCATGTATGGCACTTACAATGAAAGCACTTTCTAATGTGTCTTCTGCCACATGCAGTGTAAGTAAAATATATGAAAAAATTCTGAAATATTTAAAAAAATTTTTCAAGAAAATGTAAGGTGAAAGTTACTAAATTCTGTTAAGCTGGTGAATTAAATCTGAATCACTCACTGATTCTCAGTACAGCGTCGCCATTCTGCCTGATAACCCAAAATTCAAACTACCTCTATCAACTCCTGGGTAGGAAGCCAGGAAATGGCATCTGAATCCCAGGGTTTGTGAGACTAAGGATCTTGGGGTTTGATTCTTGGCTTTTCAGTTATTTTATTAAAAAGAATTTTTTTTTGGAGTGGCAGTGGGAAGAAAAGGCTGTTTAAGAACATGTTAATGAATACTGATTGCACTTGGCTTTTACTTGTATCTTTGCAGGCTTATGTAACATCTGATCATGTAAAGCCTGTTATACTTTAAAAAGGTCCATGGATACAGTGTTAGTAAAATTCTGTGGCCTTGAAGGAGCTGACCCCGGGGAAAGGATTCTCACTGAGAGAAGGTTAGCTCTGTGCTTCGATGCCTTGGCAAAACCCTATGCCCAGCACTTGACTGGTTGTGTCATTGGTTGGAAATACATGCTCCAATTTGTCCACATTCTGGGCCAAGAGGCAAAATAAATCTATGGTGATAGAAATTAGGACAGTGGCTGTCTATACGGGTTGGGGGCTGACTAGCGCGGGGCATGAAGGGAACTTTCTGGAGTGAGGGAAATACTCTATCACCTCACTGAGATGGTTGTTACAAGGGCATATCTAAACTCACCAACTGTACATGTTAGGATATGTGCATTTCACTGCATATAAATTTCTCCTCATAAAACAAAAATCAAAGGTCAGTTGAAAAAAGTCTAGGAGCTAATCAAAAACCCTTAACAACAAATAGGCTGAATTATTTTTAAAATGAGCGAAACATAAAAGGAAATTCTTCATTTTTCTTTTACTTTGGAGGAAAATGGATGGTGTCAAATAAATGCACAAAGACAAGCTGCCAAATGGAGTATTTTTATTTTTATTTTTCGAAGAGAACAGGCGCGTGTGCGTGCACAAGTAGAGGGGGAGAAACAGCAGGAGAGGGAGAGAGAGAATCCTAAGCAGGCTCCACACCCAGCAGGGAACCCGATGTGGGGCTCAATCTCACCACCCTGAGATCATGACCTGAGCTGAAATCAAAAGTTGGGACGCTTAACTGACTGAGCCACCTAGGCGCACCCCCAAACAGAGAATTTTTAATCAAAATAATGATCAGTTTAGACACAGCTAGACCTTCATGTTTTGGAGTGAAGAAACCATCTCTAGTACCATAAGCTGTTTTGGAAATAATTCCACATTTATTTCCTTTCATGTTTCTGTTGGAGGAATAATGTTTTTGTAAATGTAAAAAGCTTTTAATGGAGCTAGAGAAGAAACTATGTTTGGTCATAGTATTATCTGGTTACGAACTAAAAATTCAGAGCTCTCTTGTGAGTCATGCTGCCAAGAATTGCAGGCTTAATCTTCAAGATTGTATGAATTTGAATTTTGACTTTATGGCCTCAGTCAGTATGAGGATACAAAGATAATCTTTTAGCAAAAACACTTTTGAAAATGGTAGAATGTTACATGGAAAGTTAGCTCTTAGAGATAGTTATCAGATAGATGTGATCCTATTTTCTTCTTCTAAGTATCTGGATTAATAAATTAGCCAATATTTGATGACCTGATATGACCAGGCACAGTGCTAGGCACTCAGTGAGTTCCCAAATAACTCTATGCAGCCCTTGTTCTCAAGGAGCTTCTGAGCAGGACAAGGGGATTAAAAAGTATATTAATAACTCATTCAAGGAAGAATGTAATAAATGCATGAGAACACCATTGGCGTTCAGTAGAGAGGAAATTCCTTTTAAAAAGGGAATAAAGGAAGACATTATGGATGTGGTGGCATTTGGGCTGGACCTTGAAAAAGAGTGTGCTTGCCCCTGACAAGCCAGCAAAGCAGGGGTTGTAGGCAGAGAGAATGTCATCAGGAAGGCTGTGAATGCTCAGAGTTCCCGGGTTTTGTTTGGCTGCAACTCAGGGCTACAGATGGGAGGAGATACAGGGGGCAGGAGGAAGACCTGAGCCCCCGGGGGAGCTATGATCTGGGGAAAAGGTAGAGGCGGGTCATCAGAAGATGGATCCTGGAGCAATAAGAACCCAGGAGCTAAAAGGCAGCAGGATTTAAGAAGTAGGGGAAGGAAGAGGCAGACAGGTCCCGAGGAGGCTCTTACAACAAGTCAGGTAATGCCGGCTGAAGAAGCCTGATGGAAGCAGTGGAGGGACAGGGAGAGGGCGCACATCTAGAATGCTCAGCAGTGTGGAAGGGGGGGGAGGGGCAGACAGCTGGCTCAGAAGACTGAGAGACTGTCATCCAGCGACTGCGACCAGAGGGACAGTGATGCTGTTCATAGCCCAGAGTTGAGAGACTCGTCATGTTTGTGGGAGAGAGAATGATGACTCATATTTTGAGCCAGCCAGAAATGCCCAGGAGACACTGGAAAAGTGGGTCCGGGGGTCCACTCAGCGCTGGAATTAGAGAGAGAGACATCGACCTTTTTTCACCTGCCAGCGCCTGCAGTTGTGGCAGTGGGGGGAGCACGTGCCCTGTGACCACATGGAGAGGGGCAAGGGGAGAGCTGGGAGCCCGCTGCACGGCGGGGCGGGGGGTGTTGTTTGCCAGAAGCGGTAAAGGAAAACTGGCAAGGTGCAGTACCTCTCCCAGCCCTGTCCCCAAGCCTGGGAGATGAATCTGACCAGAAAGAGGGAAGAGAATGCTGGAGAGAAAGCATTCAAGAAAACTGCCTTTAGTGGACTAATCTTGACTGCTGGTCTCAGAATAATCAACGTCGATGAAGATTATTTGCGGAGTCTCCTTTGTTTCTCCTTCTTTCTTCCTTCTTTTCCCCCCTCTCCTGCCTTCCCTTCTTCCGTCTTGCACATCCACATTTTTGGACTGGCCTAGTGCATGGGTGGCCGCTGTTGACCTAAGGAGGAGTTAGGATTCACCACTGTCACTGACAAAGGGTAACTGTCTTTTCAATATTTGTCTTTACAGCCAATTGTGGAGGGAGCGCATCTCTGCTCCAATACTGCAATGTTTGGGGTCTTTGAAAGCATGAAATGTATATTTGCAATATGACAACATTAACATTCTTGTAACTCTTTTCTATACAACTTTTTACTTCTTTCTCTGTACTGCTCTGGAGAGCCACTCATTATATCTTGGTAACTGCATAGGGTCCCAGGGCCAGAGACTGGCCACTCCTGGCATTGTGATTGGAGCCATTTAATACCCAAGGCCATGACTACTATCTGGTAACAAAGGTTCCACTAGGTGTCACGTGTCCTGGGACCTTGGGTGAGGGCAAAAACGGAGCACCTTATTATTGTGTGTTAGTACCATGGTCGGGAGAAAAGTTGAGGACCAGGTGGATCCATCCAGGGCACCACCGTGAAATGAGAGACCCCCCCACTCTCCGTGACCAACGCCAGTGCAACTAGAAAGTCTAATATCCGTTTAAAATGGAGGTACCCACCTTTGTCTTATCTTCATACCCCAGGCTTTTAATAATATATTTTTTTCTGTATGTTTACAGAAAGCAGTCAACTGAGCTATTCGTGGAAAGGTTTGTGGGTTTGGTTAACGAGGTGGAGGAGTATTACATTTCAGCTGGAAACACATCCCTAGAATGCCAAAACATTTATTCCAAAGTCTGGTTTCCTGGTGCAATCGGAGGCACGGCCATAGTGTGTCTGTTCAGAGACTTTGGGGGGGGGGACCCACTGGGGCCAGCGAGGCATTTGATCCAAGTGTATTCCAGAAGGCTTTTATTGTTAAATTATATTCTTCAGGATAAACCGCCCATGTCACATTTTGTAAACTTGATATCCATACACTTTTGACTGGCATTCTATTTTAGCCATAAGCCTATGATTTACAGCAAGCCTGTTTTCCCTCTTGCTTAGGGTGGCAGCAGAAATCATGGGGCGCTTTCCAGGCTCCAAGGATAAGGAGCAAATGGGGCTGGGGTTTTGTTTCTCCCCAATAACGATCACTCTAGCTATGCCACTCTGCTCTCCCTGAACAGACAGCAAGCTTCTCCTCACTCCCCACTGCCATTCATCCAGCTCCACGCAGCAGCCCAGCTGCTGTGTTTGCCGGGAGGGGCTGCCAAGTGCCCTGCCTACTGGCTGCTTCCCGAATCCCTGCCATTCCACACACAAACACATCCACACACGCTCTGCCTCGCTCACACACGGAGCTACACGCACATGCGAGCACATTCCTTCCTTCCTTCTCCCTGCCTCAGCCCTCGACTTCTACAAGCCCATGGAACATTTCTGGAAAGACGCTCTTGATCCAGCAGGGTAGGACTGTTTTGATTTCTCTCTTTGTAGCTTTAGCATTTTGAGAAAGCAACTTACCTTTCTGGCCAGTGTCTGTATCCTAGCAGGGAGATGAGGATTTGCTGTTTTCAATGGGTTTATGCATGCATCTCCTTTTTCTTCCAGGACTTGTAGGATTCTTTGTGTAATTTATGTGTAATTTGGCGGGTGCAGGTTTTTAAGAGCCCTATGAAGGGCTTTTGCATATGTTTAAAAAAGACATTTGAAAATTGAAAGTGTGATTTATGGAAACGAAATCATCTATAAAAAAATTGCTTTGGAAAGTGATGGTTGCTGGCCCTAAAGAGAAATATCTGTGATTCACCTAATGTGTTTTAACCCTTTCTTTGCTTACAATCTATGGTTATTGATGCTAAGCTCAATTTTGTCTCCGTATTAAACCAACTACATCTGCATAGTATCCAAAAATGGTCTGTTTGTTCTTGTAAGAACTAGGTAAAATGTATACTTCTTAGTATAAAAAAATTTTAAGAAATTACTGTTAGTAACAGCAACCGTGGCATTTATATGTGCCATGAACATTTTGTTAGGTACTCTGTTGGGTGTTTGGGATAGCAATTAAAGCAAAGCATTAATGGTCATATCAGATAGTTGTATCAGAGTCTTTTAGGCTGGGGCAAAGGAAGTTTGTTAAAAAGTATAAACTCTCTGGGACTGTGGGTGCACAGTAGATTTACCATATCTTGTGTGTGTGCATACATACATATATTGTTTGTGTGTGTATGCTTAGATTTTAATTCAGTTCAAAACTTTTTTCTATTCCTTTTTCATCTCAATATTTGATTCTGCGTATCAGAGCGAAGTAAATGGAGAAGGTCGAATCGCAGGAATAAAGAACAGAAATGGAGCATTGCATTTCAAAATTTGCTGGTTAAACCAACAGTGTAACATAGTGGCCAAAGATTTGGTTAATGAACTGAGGTTACATTTTGTATGAAAAGGTCACATTTCATATTTAACTTTCTGAAGTTTTGGTTGCATAACCTGTGGAAGACGCGAACACCCATGTGCGCCTAACCAAAGGTTTTTGTGAATCATCATTCACATGAGAAATCATAATGGGAGCAAGTACAGTACTGTGGTCCAAAACAAACATACAAGTCAGGCTGGGAGCATCTCAGAAGGTCGTGGCTCTCGAAGGGACCACTCTGGGGGAATTTTGCCGCTGAGGAAACTGAGGTCTGGCACCATTCTGCTGCTGGCAAAGTGCAGCTCTTCCTATAGGTACACCTTGAATCTTCGCCTGCCTTCTCCCCAGATGTCTCCTCTCAGTCCCTGCAGCTGCTAAATATAGCTGTCTGTGGCTGGCTGCACATGCAACTGAGCACCCCATTCTATCTGCGTATCTCAGTAACAGAGTGGTCCTCCCCAGGGTCATTCTATGTACACACTACATATTTCCAGCCAACTAGGAGAGTGAATCAAACAGAAAGAGAGACAAACAGAGATAGATAGGAGTCTGGCATGGGGCACATAAGGCAGCACGGTGGAGAAAGCCGGCCCCTGGATGAGTCTTGCGAGTTTGTTTTAAACCTCGCCTTCCCCGGGCCACCTTTAGGAGAACCCTCTGCGCCCCCGCCCTCCGGCAGTGAAATTTAGCCTCCATCCAGCAGCGACAAGTAAAGTAAAGTTCAGGGAAGCTGCTTTTTGGGATCGCTCCAAAACGAGTTGCGCCTGGAGTGATGTTTAAACCAATGTCAGTGCAAGGCAACAGCCCCTGGCCGGCTTCCAGTACCTTTGTAATGCATATGAGCGCGGGAGATCGGTACTTAAAGTTGGAGACTCCGAGCCCGGGAGTTGGCTGAGCGCACTAGCGCCGGGCTGCACTTGATCGCGTCTGGCCGCCCGGCTCCACCGGACGGGCCGGCTCCCGGGGCACGGCCAGAACTCGTTTAGTGGCGGGACATGCGCTGCGCCACCTCTCACCGCGGGCTGTGCTCTTCTTCCAGGTGGCCGGTCGGCTGCTGAGCCCTCTGCCGCGCGGGGAGACTGTGCGCGCCTTGCCCGCGGCCACTGACCATGACCATGACTCTCCACACCAAAGCGTCCGGAATGGCCCTGCTGCATCAAATCCAAGGGACCGAGCTGGAGACCCTGAACCGCCCGCAGCTCAAGATCCCCCTGGAGCGGCCCCTGGGCGAGGTATACGTGGACAGCAGCAAGCCCGCCGTGTACAACTATCCCGAGGGTGGCGCGTACGACTTCAACGCCGCTCCCGCCGCCTCCGCGCCCGTCTACGGCCAGTCGGGCCTCGCCTACGGCCCCGGGTCCGAGGCGGCGGCGTTCGGCGCCAACGGCTTGGGGGGCTTCCCGCCGCTCAACAGCGTGTCTCCGAGCCCGCTGGTACTGCTGCACCCGCCGCCTCAGCTCTCGCCCTTCCTGCACCCCCACGGCCAGCAGGTGCCCTATTACCTGGAGAACGAACCGAGCGGCTATGCGGTGCGCGAGGCCGGCCCTCCCGCGTTCTACAGGTACCCGCGCCGCCCGCCGCGCCACGTCGGGGTGGCAGCTGCGCGCCCTGCGGGCGGGAGGGAGCGAGGGGGCCCGCGCGGCCGGGAGCTCGCGGGAGGCGGTAGGCCGCGGGGTCGGACAGTCGGCAGCCCGGCCGCAGGAGCCGCGGGACTCGCGGCCCGGCCGGGGCGTGGGGTGAGATGGTGGCGGGGGAAGGATTTGTGGATCTTGCTTTCGAGAGCCAAGTTCTCTCGCCTGGCAGCTTAAAGAAAATTCTGTTCTCCACCCCCCTAACATCTGCGTAAGCGGCAGATCCGAAAACCCATGGGCTTCCTAACTCATTTTGGAAAATCGTACAAAGCGGCGGTTATTTGTGTGTGTGTGGGGGGGAACACCCCAAAGCAAATAAACACAAAGCTCTTGGAGTCCCTAGTGAATGTCCCGTCTTGGTATTTAAGGCTGGAGGTGAGTAGGGTTAGGGAAGCTCAGAGTTTATTATTATTATTATTATTAATTGAAATTGTTTTAATGTGCTCGCAAGATTTCCTTTCATCTACAATTTCTGATTGGAGATATGCACGCTATTATTATGATGACGATGGTTTTGTTTGTTTTAGCAAGCAGTGCTTGCACCTACTCTCCCCCCCCTTTCTCTCCATCCCAAATTCGAGGCTTTGGGATTGAATTGTGCTCCTCAAAAGAGCAATAGAGGAATTGAATGTCTTAATGAGTTTCTGATTTCTGAGTTATCTGGCTGGGTCCGTGTTGGAGCAGATTGCTGGCATATGACTCCTGACAGCCGAAAATTTATAGGTGTCTTGTGAGTTTAAAACATGCCGGATGGAAGAGTGTTTTGAAATAACCGTCGTGCCCGCTAAATTACCTTTCTGGCCTACCGGCAGAGCGTGCCCCGGAAATGGTGTGCGGGGTCAGCTCGGTTGTGCACCTTTTAGTCGCTGTAGAAGTGTTAGGAGTCCAGGCCATACAGAAACGCATTTGTGACTTAAGTGGCCAGTGTTTTGGGTCCTTACATCCCCAAACCCCAAGGATTATACTTTCCTCCCCTCCCTTCTCCTACTACCCCTTTGACAGTTTCTGCGTTCTCTTCCTGATGGACCTGGGGAGGGCTTAGGTGGGTGATACTGATGAACACCTGTGCCCTGGGCACCTAACGGCCACCTGTACTCTGGGGTGGGTTTGGGAGTTCTCAGGGCGCCCACGTGGCTGCGTGCTGAGTTAGGCACAGCCAGACTGCACACTGGTGTCTGGACTTGCCTCCCACCCTCACCTGGACCCTTCTGCATTGCAAGCTGTGGACCATTTTCTATTCAGTGTTCTAGTTCCAGAGATACAGCAGAAGAAAGAGGAAGAAGGTGCAGGTTGGGCCCAGAGGATACTGAAGGGCACACTCTTGCGGTATCTGAACGTATCCCATATCCTTCAGCCTCCTCAAAGGATTTTAGAGCATTCCACAGCCAAACAGGTTCAGACTGAGTTATTACTTAAAAGACAAAGAATGAACACAACTTTAGAAAGTTGTTATATTTCAAATTAATTTTACTTGTTTTAATTCAGGGTTAAAGTGGAAAGAAAAAGAATTTATTCTGCTCACTTTTTTTTTTGAAGTGTTAGAACAAAATATAACGATTAAGTCTTATTCACACAACCTTTTAAACTCCTTGATGTGAAGGAAGGCACTTGATATGATGTGAATTCCATAACCTTATGGTGGACTCCAGAAACTATTTTCTCTTTCATTTAATTTTCAGTTCTTTTATTGCAAATTAATCCTACTGAATTTCAATGGGTACTAATGAGACTGCTCCTTAGTGGATTATTTACTGCCTTGCTAATAATTACAAAGTGAGCATGGTCAAATAAAGAGGGAACCACATTTAATTCAAAATTGTTCATCATCCCAGTGGCAAATAATATTACTATAATATGCCCCATCTTAAACTTTTTGCATTAGATGGTATTCAAATATATTTAGAATAATGAAAAAAATGACATGGAACTTTAATAATAAAGTTAAGAACTCATACACATGCGTCTCCATGTGGAAACTTAGTTTTAGAATGATTTTTTCTTTGTAGTTTATTTCCTATAACATCCTTACTCTTTGCTTTGAATCGTGCCTCTGGGTAGCCAGGGAGGAAGAGATGGCTCTATATAAGTGTTGTTTCAAATGGGCAGATGTTATTTATTTTGCCCTCTCAGTTTTCCTGTCTGAATAACTCTGAGTAAAAAGAAAAAAAAATTGATTAGGCTCTTTTAGAAACCTTCCGTTATCTTCAGTAGTTACTAAAGTTTTGGGGGTTGCAAGCAGTGTTTTCAAACTGCTTGTCATGATCCAGAGGATCATGAAATCGCTTGGTGATTTTGGAACATTTTTTTTTTTTAAGGAATAAAATAGAAAAGAATATAATAGAAAGTATCACAGTGCATAATATTTAGTAAGGGTGGGTTTTGTTTCCTGAAAATTTGTTTTAATTATATACGCTTATATGCACCGACTCTGATGTAAAATGTATTTCTTACCGTAGACGTTTGAAAATTAGTGGCCTAACATGTTATGCTTGGTACGAAACACAAAATTTAGGAAAGTGGCTAGTTGTTTTAGCTACACAAACCAAAAAGGTGTTTTGATTGTTGTTATATTATTTTCCCCCTATAAATTGGCTGGTGTCTTCAGGTCAGTTAGATTAAGGTTTATTATTTCTGATTCTTAACTTTTCCATTTGTAACATGGTGCCGTCATGTGGATTGTCTATCTGAATGTCCCACTGGGATGTTCAGAGAATTTACATGAAGTTCACATCATTAACATAACATAATAAAATAAAAAAAAAGATACTATGGTTACTTTCTTCTAAAGGCCACAATATCAGCCATATCTATGTATAAAGAAATGTAATAGATAAAACTGCTCTGGGCATACAATAATGTGAGAAAGATTGTCACATGTCCCAGCAAATTGTTGAGATGGAATACATTTGTAAACGGGCCAGTTGTGACTTTCCAAGATGAGTCTGACCTAAAATTTCATGATGAAGGCACCTGGGAGTTACCTTATCCTCAGTTCCTTTTTAGTGTTCAAAGGGCTTAGGAGGTTTGAATAAAACTAAAGAATGAAACATATTATATCCACCATGTTTTTAAAAATTCAAATTAAGTATTTAGTGCTCCGTGTTCATTTCAGTTTTACTACTCAGTGTTCTTAAAGGCTAAATTTTACCCACTTCTCCCTGCCAAACTGCACAAACACACAGATCTTTAGCATCAAAATCAATGTCTTAGTAATTTTTCTGCTGGCTATATGCATATTTTGAATGAGTAGTGCGATCATTGGTGATCATTTAAAAACGATTTCTCAACTTTAAATAAGGCTCATTTCTAGGGAGAGATTTGAAGAGCTAGTTTGCAAGTTTCCAGTAATTCTTTCCTTGTATTTAGGTGATATTTTAGCACCCTTTATTTCTGTTCTTACTTTCATTCATTTAAGTTGTTACTGTTCACCTGACATTTTGTGTTGGTCTAAGAATAGCTGAAGGAGCCACATATTGCCTTGGGAATGAGTGTATTTTAGGTTGAAAAATGGATTCACATCTTGAATCCCCATTTCATTTTCACCTACTCCATGTGGCTTGTTTGGTAGAAAGCCCCTGCTGGATAATTACCACTTATTATAATCTTCTTTCTCGCACTCAGTTAATATGGATCCTTGGATTGCTTTTGTAAATATATTTAGGATATGACATTCCTAATTTGGGAAAATTCAGGTTTAGCATTTGGGTTTCTTATTGTTTTAAGAACATAAAAGACAGGGGCAAGAGATCAACAATGACAGGAACAACAGATATCAGGAAAAACTGTAAAAGATGACACACTTTCTGTTAATGAGAAGGTATTAATAATTTTGTCAAGTGGGATAGTGTATAGGAAAGCAGTACATAAGCTACACAAGCATTCAGCATTTCATTATTTCTTTCACATATTAATATTCATTCCAGTGCTTCTGTAAGCTAAAAGATAGTAGGAAAGAACAGATTTAAGTGGTCAGGAGTTTCATTACAAATATAAATTAGTGATCATGTGAAATCATTTTCTGTGGAAGTGAAATTTAAATAAAATCTTTATCACCATCTGCAACATTTATTTGCAGCCTAGGTTATCATAAATGACATTTATTTTTAAATACATTAAAAAAATCAAAACCCTGCTTATGTGAAAATAGTTTTGCATGAGGAACTATACAAATTATAATTATATTTTTTCTAAAATACACACTCAGCACAAAATGAATACATCTGACTCCTTTCTGTGACATCAGTATTCTTCTTAATGTAACTTCAGAAGAACCCGGTGAGAGGAACAGCATGCTAAAAGTGTGTTCCCTGCTTTTCCAGGATACATTGAATGGATAGGACAAATTAGTCATTTAGCTTAATCCCAAGACTCCGTCTGCTTTTTGAAGAAGGAAAACACAGAATGGCCACCACTGTTTAGAACCAAGATGCACACTCCAGAGAAAGATGCTTTATAAATCCCCGAAATACAGCCACTCGAACACAAACCAACCAAAGTGAAACTGTGAGGGATTTCACTGAAAGGAGGCAGCCCCTCAAAGCCATCCAATCGTTTTGTTTTATACTTTAAACTCTGCCAATGCACTGACAGATAATGCTCCTTTTCAAAAAAGGTACGTTTAAGCTGTTCCCTGCTCCACTTGTAAAACATTACCCCCCTCCTGCCCTCTGAAATCTGAGGACTTCTGTGGGCTAGAGGCGAAGAGTCATATTCTTGATCTCAGGAGGGAAGAAATCCTAACTCCTGAGCTCTGCACCTTGGAGAATGTTATTAGGAATTATGAGGGAAGCTTCGCGTTAATTGACAACACTTTCAGTCACGTGTGTATGTTCAGACCCTATTAATAGAGGAAAGATAGAAAAGACAACTACTTTGGTCCAAACTGACGAAATTTTATGTAGTTTGGTGAAGTAATAATTTCAAGAAGCTA